TCTATAAGATATATATATGTGTCTATAATAAAATTCTGAGTTGAATCTGTAAATTAAATATTTTTTTGAAAATCTTATTGAAATAGTCATTATTATGGATACAGAGGCCGAATGTATAGTTTTTAGATTATTTGTTTGTCTGTGTGTGACCGCATCACGAGAAAACCACTGGACAGATTTTGATGAAATTTAGTATGATGATAGCTGGTTATCCGGGTCAACATATAAGATACTTTTTTCTGCGGAAAAATATCTCATCTTTGAGAAATCTATACTAAAAGTTAAACGGAGCAAGAGTGAGTCGCTAGTGTATAATAATCGTCAGCTCTGTTTAATATAGTTACAATAATTATAATTAAATTTAATTAAACCTACATTTAAAATATTAGCAGAAATGAATGGGGTATGAGTTTTTTTTAATTAGATTTATTACAAATGCTTTTGAATCGTCAATTTAATGTAAGGGTCAGTGTAGTCAGTCCGTGAGGAAGCTACAAAAAGCAGTTCTGCTGAGAAGAGCCGGCAAGAAACTCAACTGTTGCTCTTTTAAATATCGAAGTTACATTTATTTTATTAACATAACAATATAGAATGCCCGCATATGAGTCAATGTAAATCATTTGAATAAATAATTGATAGAGTGATACTTCGAATCAACTTGTTTCATTTTAATATGTTTTACTTGAAGGAAAAAAATATATCTATAGTCGATTACATTACATAAAATTGTAAATTTTAGTGGAATTAAAGAGTCTAGGTAAATGGATTGGATGTCCAGACTAATTTTTTGTTGTACCGAATGGTAATCGGCCGTGCTTAATCTCTTAATGGATTAAACCGTCATATATCTATCTGATCAGATTATACAATACTATATTGATATTTTGACATAATATTTTCAGTATATCACAAGAAAGAAGCGACATGGTACATAAATGTGAATATAGAATATATTAGTATCGGCAGCTTTGAAGCTAAAATAGTAACTTGAGTTCAAAACACAGGCTTCCTAGTACGGCAACAGAGGCATCCGATTAATATTTTTTTTTAATGTAAAGACATAGAAAGTCTAATAATATTACTATAATGTGCGGTAATACATTTAACTTTATAGTGTACTAGCATTGCCCGCGGCTCCGCCCGCGTTCATATGACCAAAAACCAAATTCTTAGGTTTTACATATTAGTATACTCTTACATTGCAGTTTTGTATTTTTTTCAAATATGAGACATTTTCCCGCGGTAAAAAGTATCCTATATGTTGACCCGGATAACCAGCTATCACCATACCAAATTTCATCAAAATCCTTCCAGTGATTTTTCTGTGATGCGGTAACAGACAGACAGACAAAAATTCTAAAAACTATAGATTCGGCCTCTGTATCGATAATAATGTCAATTTAAAAAAAACAAAAAAAAATCATGTACAGATTCGGCTTAGTTACAATTTTACTATATGTATCGAAGTCATAAGAAAAATTCATTTAAGAAATTTAAGTGTTTTACATTGTCGTGGTAGGGAGGCTCATTGGCGTCCGGCAATCCAGCTAGCCGTAAAGCCAAAAGACACACTGGGAGGTGGCCCACTTCAGTTGGCGGTGTACCTACAGGTTGCACCTAGTATTTCTCTTATACTCGTAGCAGAGTTGACCGTAAGAGCAACCCCTTGGTTGTTGTTTTCTGCCTCGGCAGGTCTGCGCTTGGGGCGTTGTGGTTAAGCCAGTGAGTCCGACATAACCACCAGTATTTAAGCAGATGGTATGCGTAAATGTAATTTTCATTTCCCAACATTAAAAAAAATAATTTGCCAAAAGGAAATCTACTCACCACTAATAATAAATAAAAAATAAAAATAATTAAAAATAATGTCTACCAAATAACATTAATATATGCCATGAACAAAAAGAAGCGTAAGCATTCGAAGAGGATTTTCTGGTAGTATTAAAAAGATTTAATTTTCTGTGGATTTTGTATTTTTATCCGACTTCCAAAAAGAAGGAGGTTGTCAATTCGTCGGAATCTTTTTTTAATTTATATTTTTCATCGGAATCTTTTTTTTATGTATTTTTTAAATTAGTGAATGATTATTATTATAAGTAAGATAAGTAATAAAACTACCTATTTTATACTGGACTACAAGCTGCATTCGTAATAACAATCGTAGATTCTTGTTTCAAGAAGAGTGTATGAACATTTTAAAATATTCACCAACGTTGCTCTTGCTTGGCGCTAGTGAATAAATTGCTACCTGTAAAGAGTTAGAAGTATTAAGTCTTGCTCTTGAATCTTTTATCATCCCATTTTCATATAAAGGTGCCGCTTATATGGACCTTCTGACATGTAAATTGATCAGCTTAGCATATAATACAGGTGCAAATTGAATATACACCTACTCGTAGTGGAAAGTACCTACAAAATTAGTATTGAAAATACTATTTAAATTATCAACAATTTATCATTAGGTACATATCTATAATAAAATAAGAACAAAGCGTAATCTGTATATGAAATATTTTTTAAAAAGGTGACAGGTAATGTGAACAGAAAATAGATCCCAAAACAAATACTTACCTATTAAATTTTTTATCTGGGTAAGTATGTCTGTTTGTCTATATGTCTGTTGATGTATTATCTGTAGGTACATATGATGTTGCATGTCACGAACAAAGTACTAAAGTAAGTCAATTTTGTGTAATAATCATTTATATCACTCGTGTCAACGTTTAGGATACCTTTTACTACATGAAAATTTCTTATTTCCACGAGAAAACCCATAACTTGTCGGTGGTCGGCCGAGTTGTCCTTCTTACAAAAATTTCAATGATTTACATGAAATATATTATTAGCATATATTTAACAATTTAACGCGATAAAATTTTTCATTTTCATGGGAAAATGCAAAATTTAGTTCGAACACATATCGGTCATCTATAGGTTATAGGTATACCTAAGTACCATAGTACCATAGTACCATAGGATAAAACAAAATCGCTGTCTGCCTCTGTCTGTTTCTCCGCTTACTTTTTCCAAACCGCGCCACGGATTTTGATACAGTTTTCACTAATACTGTTTTAGTGCATGTTGTGTTCTCCAGTAATAAGGGGTTCATGTTAAACACTGTCCAAAGAGCCTGTATTTTTTTGTATTTTTATATGTACTTCTGTTGGATATCCTTAATTAATAAATAAATAATACATATACAATAAACAAAGAATATTTTTCAATATAATTTGTATATATTTTATACACGATGGATCAAATGTGACAGTGTTTTGTCAAAAAAAACTATTTTCGTACACTTAGATGGCTAACGCTGTACCTCAAAATAATGTACTAGGAAATTGTAGATTTAAAAAATCTGAAAATATGCAAAACGATATGAGTATTTTCTAAAATACAATCACAATAACTATTTTTATCCACTTAAAACATACTTGAGTACGCACCTGAGTGATGGTAGGTACCTACGGTAAACGTTTGTTTATGATAAACGTTTTTAATAATATTTATAATTCTTTTATAAAATCATAATTCATCAATAAATAATAATAAATTTAAGGATAGCTTTAATAATAGTGGAGTGTAGAGGATAGGATAATAAAAGCTGAACGTGTTTTAAAATTTATTAAAGTGATTGAATCATTTTAGAGCCCGTAAAATTTTAAGTACAAATAAAAATTACTGTTGTGTTCGCTGTGCAAGTTCCTTTTTATACCCCCACTAAATTGCTTTCAGAAAATATTTGATGTTCATTTATAATGTCTTCTCCGAGTAGCAGCAGTATCCATAGAGGCATAATTTAATACCTAATGGCACGTAAATGTTTTTATGATTTACTAAAATGTACCTTTCATTTTCTTACCACTTTTAACAAATTATAATTTTATCTAACACGCTAGTCCCCTTAAAAAGGGCTGAATATAAAAGGTCTTGCAGACGTGGTTTTGTCCTTTCGGTATATCACAATTAGGTAAGTTATAATAATAATTATCTAATAATCATCACGTCTGCATTACGTGTTAAATAGTTTTTTAAGGTTTATAATTAATATATATGTTAGTTTTAAGGTATAATATATGATAAGGGCCTCTGTTTACATATTTAAGATCCTTTTGTAAATATTGCCTGAAATAAATGATTAAATGAAATATATATTATATAATAAGGTATGTAATACCTTTTTCATTACTGGACAACAAAAATCAGATCGAGATTTTACGTTTTTATATTGGCTCAGTTACATTTTTGCTATATGTGTAAATAATGATTGATTACCATAAGAAGCAAAAATCCAACAAGTAATAACATTACAAATAATTTTTGTATTATAATCATTATGTACCAAATAAATTACATTGTTGCCTGTATAGCAATAATTACTGTAATTAAAGCAGTTATACCCTGCATAGTTTTATGGTTCGAAGTAACATTGTATTCAAAATACACGTGAACAATGCGGTGGTAGACGACGTCATCTATTTTGCAGTATTATTTTTGCTGCAAATGCGCTTACACGACTTGTAAGAGAACCTCAGGATATGAAAATGCGGTTATCAATATTTAACTTTACTTGTGCTAGTGGAGAAAATATTTTTATTATAACAAAATTGACCTACTCATGCTCAGTAAATACAAAGTGCTCATCCAAAGTGAAATGGTTAGTTAAAAATATCACGTAAGATAAAAATTTATTGTTTACTTCTATACTCATAATTTCTTTTTGATTTTATAAATAATAGATTTTTATAGTCGACTTCGGAGTGATAATTGATAACTCTCAACTCTCTCTCACCCTCAATAATCTGTCAAATTTCAAAATGACATTTACGTTATTTTGACTTTTACTAGTTTTAAATTCATTTAATTTTTTTTGTTTGATTTTTATTTGTCATCCATGTGTTTGACTTTGTCATAAATATATCAACAATGAACAATTGCATTAAGTCCATTATTGTCTAAGAATAATTAAACAAAAGAATTAAAAGAAAAAACTTAACAAAATGGGTATTTTAGTAACGTTTAAACAAGTTATCGGAATGTGCAAAGTTAGTTGAGACACTATTATTCTTGTTTCTTTGAGAAATAAGTTTCTGATCACTGAATAAAATTCTTTTATTCGATACTATATTAGGATCAACTTTATGAACTATTTTTCACGGTAATGTACTATTTTTCTCTTTGTTTTAGACTGTACTAGAATCGGGGAGTGTGGGGAACGCGTCGTCGTCTGATGAAGAGTTGGAGCAGTGGGAACAAATATTCATGATGAGAGATGAAAACGGAAATAGTTATAATGATAAGTAAGTACGTTTTCATATAATTTACTACTATATTTAATATTCCCTATTCTTTGAAAGTTACAAATAGATATTTTTGTTTAAAACTTTTGCTGATACCCAGTTTATTTCTATTAATTTGTACTTAAAAAACTCCCTAATTATAATTCTATTATAATAAATGTCTTCATCTATTTTTGTATTTTTAGACGGAAGAAGCGTAGCATATGGTGCAGGCCATCATGCATTCCAGTATCATTAGTGATAGTACTAATAGTACTTGTTGTTTTGGTGCCATTGTTGGATCAACCTAACATTGCACAGGTGCTGCCGACAATTGCTCATGTTGATATGCATTGCTCAGATGAATGTAGGTATGTAACATTGTTTTCAATTTTGTTTTTTATTATTGATAAGTTATTTAACATGAATTTAACATTAAAATTATTCTTATTATAGGTCAATAACATTATTTTTGAGGCAATTTGATGTTGTAGTGGTTTCGATGACAAATTGAAAGCATAAGCAAACATATTTAGTTTCTTTAATAGTGATCTCTACAAAAATAGTGTTAGTAACAAGGAGTTGTTAATAAGTAGTTAAAACACATTTACAGCACTATTCTGCCCAATACAAAATGTACAAATTTCATAACTTAAATATGTCCATTAAGTGGCAATAGAATAAGATCATTTTTTTTTCTTTACACATATCGCTTCATATTCTAAATATTTTTTTGTTTACGTAAAATTCTATAAGATACTTATTTTACAACTACTTTTAATTTTTAAGAAATTTTGCATATTAATCAAATCAAATCAGAATATACTATAATTAAATGAATTGTCACATTTTAAATTTAAATTAAATGTCAATATATAAGTCACTGCCACTGGCTCTGAAGGCAGTTCTGCTGAGAAGAACCAGCGAGAAACTCTACAGTTGAATAATGCAACACCAAGGCAATATGTAATAATATAGCATAATTTTTTAAATAATAATAATATAACATATATTTTTTTTAATTTTATCTTATGCGTAACATGACCTTTTAAGCTATTAACTCTTTTTTATATAAAAAATGTTTTATTATAATGATTCATTATTTTCCTTTGAAACAGTGCTTAGTAACTTCCATGTTATTATTTAAGCATTTTATCACCACCACTGAGGTCTATTAAGTGTAACAAATGATTGTTACAAGTATTAATCATATTGACTTATTGATAAATGGCAAAGCCATGATGAAGGTCACTAAATGTTAATTACTTCTATGTATAATATGAATTTTAAAGAACCTCTCATTAATAATTTACCTATTTTTCACAAAAAATAATAAATGACTTCAAAATTAGGTACTAAAAAATAATAATTCTAATGTTTGGGGTTATTTTTTTTCATTTAAGTCATGGAATTATGATATTTGATTCACAATTGTTAGCACAAATTACATGTAATTTAGTTAGTACTTTCAATCCAATTTTCTTGTTAATGGCTTCAAAGCGGGCCAACTACTAGTTTAGCACAGATTACTTCACCAATGTCACCTAAAATGGAGAAGACACAAAGGAGATTGGTCATCAGTACTTTCTCATTATTTGATTTGGTCAAAAATATACTGTTAACTATTTTCCCTTTTATACGTACACTGAGAGTACACGTGGCTTCGCCCGCGCACGAACTTCCAATCACTACCAAACTTCACAGGATCACCCGCTGGGCTAATTTGAAGATTAGCCTTTTCTGAAAATTTCATCAAAATTGCTCCAGCCGTTTTGAAGCCCATAGGGAACATACATACTCACATCGATTTTTATATATACACATAGATTTTTAAATAAGAGCATATTATCAATTTACTCCCGCTCAATTTTCGTCTTAATGTTTTCTTTATAACATAAAATCATTTTCAGGTTATCTCTAGTAGAAAGTATACCCGAAGGACACATGTATCCCCCGAACGTAACGCATATGCCAACTAAAAACGCTTGGTTAGATTTGATAGATGAAGCTCAAACGTCGATAGAAATCGCCTCTTTCTATTGGTCGCTTAGATATAATGAACTTTATCCTTATAATTCTTCCATAGAGGTAAGATTTCATGTTATAAAACACCATTTTTAATAGTACATTGTTTTTTTGCTTTTTGAATTTTATTTGTATTTTAGTTTTATTTTGAAACAAAAACATTTTGAATCAAACTTATCGATATTTATTATTTATATTTTATGTTATCGTAAATATAATATTATTTAATAATAACTAATAGAATAATATTTAAGAATAATTCAGAAATATAACATTGTAGGGAGAACAAGTATTCCAAGCGCTACTTGCGGCTGGAACTAGAAGGAAAATAGATTTAAAAATTGCTCAAAACTGGCCTACCAAGTCGAATCCCAACATTGACACAGAATATTTAGTTAAGAAAAAAGCTGCACAGGTACGTTATAAATTACATATTATATTGTTAGTAATATTTTGTTTTAATTAAACAATTTGAAACAAACACATTCATGGTTGAATTGAATATTGTTTTAAAAAACATCTAAAGATGTGACATTTTGTATATAGAGGACGAAAATAGAGGTTTATAGTAAAGCTTTTAGATACATTGTACATACAAATACATACATACATTATACCTGTAGAATATTTAAACCTGCAATTTTTCTCTTCCTCTGGATTCAGATACCATGACATCACACTATATTAATTATTCATATTGCTTAACTTGCGAAATGTGGATGTGGCAAAATAAGCATTTTATTTTACCATATCCACTATTAAATGCTGTATGATAAAGTCTGTACCAGCAGTCCGTTTTGTACTGCCAAGTAGGTACCTGTGGGAGTAAAACTGCTGCTGCCGCTTCACTACTGCTACCAAACTATCTATCCACATTCTCTTCATCACATCTTCCATTTTTGCTAAACTTACCGGATATATTGGTATGTTATCTTCTAGTGAGTTATCTTTCACTGAAACTTTACAATCAGCTTTTGTTCTTTTTTTGAAAACTACAACTTTAGTTTTAGCCGCATTTATGGTCATACACTATACATAGTAGGGGAGCCCAAGAGGGGATTTTCTGTAGTTACTCGAGCGCGGCAGATTAACATAAAAGAGGTTACCTTGCATTCTATTGAGTACTTTCACCACAATATAAGTCTTCTATATAAAGGGGCGCGTCTAGGGAAGGCAAAAATCGACTATAAAGTTTATGATGATTTTTGCCTCTTAGGCTTGTGCAAATCGGCAGATTATTAAATTGGACACTTTTCAGGATGTGACTAGCCTACCACACCTTAATCTGACGGTTTCAAGTATTTCTACCTTATCAAAACATTTTTTAAATATTTTAATCGGCTTCCCTAGACGCGCCCCTTTATATAGAAGACTTATATTATGGTGAAAGTACTCAATAGAGTGCAAGGTAACCTCTTTTATGTTAATCTGCCGCGCTCGAGTAACTACAGAAAATCCCCTCTTGGGCTCCCCTACTAACAGCTATAGATTTGTCTAAAACGTCTTTGTGCTCTTGTCTTCCTTCATTGTCCCACAAATATCTTTCAGACTTTCATAGTGTTTGTTTATAATTCTGCATACATATATTTTACCACCTTAAATATAAAAAATAATATAAATCAAAATGTCATCCAATATCATTGGCTTTCTCAATATGATTATAATATTTATTCTAGTCTATTGAATTAAACAAATAAAAATAGGAATGTGTTAGTTTGAAATAATAAAAATCGGTGAAGTTCTAATCGAATTCGTACACGAAGGGTTCCGTACCATCGTACATGTATTTTTTTATTATTATGACTTTTACTCTTATGTACGTAGTATACTGACTTCGATGATTGATAACGGACGTTAAAAAAATGTTTCTTGTATTTTTATTTTTTTGAAGTTATACCTACTTCTTTTGGCACGATTGGAAAAAATATGAGGGTAAAATTTTTACGATGCGCGCGCACACCGACAGCCAAAAAGCGACATGATGAAGTTAGCTCCATTCCTTTTACAAACAGAGAGTTGTGACATACGGAATGAAATCTTTAGCTATTTTTGTTCTGTTACACCAAAGAAGTATAACTTCTTACGTGCGTACATAAGTACACACATATTTTTTTTAATTTTAATATTTGTTGTTATAGCGACAATAAAAATACGTACTGTGTGTAAATTTCAACTCTCTACCTATTACGTTTCACGAGTTACAGCCCTCTGACAGGCGGACTGATAGCGGAGGCGTAAAAATACGGAACCCTAATAAAAAATATTTTAATGATTATAATAACAACCAACAATATTTCCAGGTGAGAAGTTTAAACTTCTCAAAGTTATTAGGTAATGGAGTGTTACATACGAAGTTTTGGATCGTTGATCGCACGCATTTCTATATAGGAAGTGCTAATATGGACTGGAGGTCACTTACTCAGGTAAGATAGATGAAACTAGTAACGTAGCTATTTGAATCGCTTACTTGTTTTATTAATATTGTTTATTATAATTAATTAATTTCTTGTTTTGGTCAAAAGAAATATTCTTTTTTTTTGTAAATCTAGTGTTGCTATTAGAAATGAATTTATCTAAAAAAATATTAAGATCTTTTTGGAAAAAGAAAGATCAAAAAAAGGCTTACCAACCTTAGATAAGACTATAGGCTCTTATACTTTCTATAATCGATATTCCTAATACAAAACTAAAAAAATATGTAGGAATGATTTATATTCTGACCATGTCACATGGCAGTCAGTTTACTTTGGCATTGTTCAATTTTCTTAATACTTTCCTAGATTTACGTGAATATTTGACATTTTTTAAACAAAACTATCTTTTCGGTTTTTTTGCGGACTTTTTTTTTCGGGGGAACCAAAAATCAAAATAAACCCGTCAAAAAATCCAAAAAGATAGTTATTTTCTTATTTTTATTTTAACTGGACGATTTAATAAAATGTAATCATAAATATTTTTTTATATAATATGATAAAGTTCCCTGAAGTGCCTTCATTCGACTACTTTACTTACTCCCTTAACTAGCGCAAGTTATAACGAGCTGTACTTTTAAAAGTGCATGAAATTATACGACCCTAAGACTAACTAAAGCTAAAGATATTTAACGAGCATAGAGAAATATACTAATTAGAGCAAGAGATATTAATTAATACTGTAATAGTTGACCAAACAGACATTATTCTGTCCAAATTATAAAAAAAATTGTATGTCAACTTTGAGTTCACTACAAAATCCTATAGAAAACTAGATTCGTTTTTTTTTCAAATTCTTTAAATATTGTATTCGAAATTAATTAACCTTGTATACGAAAGAGTACGAATTTTTTTAATAAAGCAGCCAAACTTAGTCCAGCCGTTATTCAAGTGATGCGGTTATTTACGAACTTTATATAACTTTTATTTATATACATAAATATTATTATGAATTTTTAATAGAGCTAATAGGAATGTACTTGCAAGACAATGAATTTTTAACGTTTATTTTGCTTATAGGTAAAGGAGTTGGGAATAGTCGCATACAACTGTTCCTGCTTGGCCACTGATTTAGCAAAAATCTTCGATGTAAGTCATGTTTAAATATATTATAAATTAATTTGCCTATTTATATTATTTTTATTTTATTTATTTATCTTATAGAAATAAACAGTATCTATATATAAATAGGCAAAAACAAAAGAGTACCTTTTTCTCCAGTGTTTATCAATCGATTTTCTTCTTTTTGTTATCATTGTTTTTTTTTTTGTAATCAATAAAAATGATTATTGATAACAAAAACAGTATTTCGACCACTGGACCAACACTAGTAACAATAGAAATTCATACATTCACATTTCACTAATTAAGTTTCCAGAAATAAATACATGATTAGAGTAAAAAAAATGACAAACAAAACAAATTCATTTAACAAAATTAAATAATAAAATAACAGAATTAGCAAATAACAAATTTCAGTTATTATGATCGATAGTGTAACATAGTGCATACTATTTAAGTGTTGAAAACTATTGGATTGGAAATTGAAGATATTTATTGGTTCTTTTTGTAATAACAACACGAGCATTGGCTATAGACTGACTTTATTTAAAAAAAACTTATATTTACCCACCAAGAACAATATACAATATAAACCTATTATTTCATACTACCTTACATCTTTCCCCCTCTAATTACCTAGATTTTATAGAAAAACTAAAGATACTTATAGAAATCATAAATAACAATATAAACTAAAGATATTTGTAAAAATAAACACAATTTAAGCGTTGCTTTGCTGCTAATAATAACTACATTAAACTCCTTTATTAGTTTATTTAGGTTTTTTTGTCCTTCTGTATTATAGCTCTTTTATAAGCACGTATAGCTCTGGCAGAAGCGTCCGGTGGGGGTGGAGGCGTCTCGGGCTCGCCCGCCGGTCCTGGAAGACCCGGGGAGCGTAGTGCCCGCCCCGCGTTAGCACCCGTCTCGGGCGCTTCACTACATTGATCATCTGCATCGTCATCAACCCCAGGCGTCAGTTCCTCATTCGCGTCCGCACTAGCTGTCGTTGATGTTCGCGCCAATGAATATCGATTTTTTTCTTTTCTATTACCTAACTGTATCATTTGGTCTTGGTGACGTCTCCACTCTACTCCTCCCCCTACATCAACCTTGAATGACACGGGCCCGGTTTTCTTGGTGACCGTCCCCTCTGACCATTTTTCCCCTTTAGTGGTATAATCCCTAGTCAATACTGTATCACCGAGCTGCAGCTCGCGATTAGTACCTCCTGCCCTGTCGACCTGTTTGCTTTGTGCTTCCAGCACCACTGCCCCCACGTCTGGTCGTAACGCGTCGAGTCGACCCCGCAGCCGTCTCCCAAGTAACGCGACCGCTGGCGACACTGCCGTAGTAGTGTGTTCACAATTACGATATTGAAATAAAAACTTACTTAATGCTTGCGATATATTCTCCCCTAAATGTACCGCTCTTTTAATTACTTTTTTAATTGTTTTAACCGCGTTTTCAGCAGCGCCATTCGCCTGCGGTCTATACGGTGCAGATGTCGAATGCTTAATACAATTTTTATAACAATATTCTTTGAACATTTGGGATGAGAATGGAGGGCCATTATCGGTAACGAGCTGTGAAGGAAGTCCGAATCTGGCAAAAATCGATCTACACGCCTCAATAGTGGAAACAGCGTCCGTACGATTCATTTGTATGACCTCAATCCACTTAGAATACGCGTCTATAATAATTAAAAATCGCTTGCCGTCACAATCTGCAAAGTCGGCATGTAGCCGCGTCCACGGAGACGCCGGAAACTCCCAGGGGTATAGCGGGGCGCGCGGAGGGGCGTCGCGAACAGAGTTGCATGCGTCACACGCGCGACTGACATCTTCAATGTCTTTATCTATACCCGGCCAATACACGTAACTGCGTGATAAGTTTTTCATTTTATTGCTACCTAGATGACCTACGTGTAACTCATCAAGTACTTGTTTACGTAAGACCGTGGGAATAATTATTCTATATTTATAAATTAAGCACCCTAACTCTAATATTATGTCCTGTCTACGGTTATAATACGGTTTTTCTTCATCACAGCTCGCTCTCGCTGGCCAACCAAACATTACATAACCACATATTTTGCTTAAAATGTTATCTTTTTTTGTTTTTTTACTAATGTCTTTAAAGTTAACCGGCGTACATTCCTCGAGCAGCTTAACATAACTCACTGGGTCACTTGGGTCACACTCGCGTAGCAGTGGTAAGCGAGACAGCGCGTCAGCTGGGCCGTTTTGACTTGATCGCACAAACTCCACGGAAAAATCGTACGCTGCGAGATGTGCCGCCCACCGCTGCAGGCGGCTTGCTGCTGTTTGTGGAATCCCCCCTTTAGCTCCAAAAATATGAGTTAATGGTTGGTGGTCTGTGCGCAGTACAAAACGCCTGCCAAATAAAAATTGATGGTGTTTCGTTATACCAAAATATATAGCCAAAGCTTCCTTATCTAGCTGACTATAATTTTTTTCAGCTACATTTAACGTCCGCGAGACACAGCTGACGGGCCGCTCGCTGCCGTCGTCGTACCGGTGCGCCAACACTGCGCCCAGACCGTACGCGCTGCTATCCACCGCTAACACGAGTTCGCGTCCTTCCTCGTAGTGCGCTAGTACTCGATCGCTTAACAATATGCGCTTCGCTTCACAAAAAGCCTCTTCGCACTCTTCCGTCCATAACCAAGTGACCCCTTTTTTTAATAAATTGTGTAAAGAATGTAACACAATACTCAAATTTGGAATAAATTTTCCGTAATAATTAATTAACCCGAGAAAACTTTTTAATTGCGTTACATTATCTGGTCGTGGTGCATTTGTTATTGCTTGTAATTTTTTTTTATCCGGATGTAAACCTAATTTATCAATAACAAACCCAAGATATTTAACATATTTTTGTAAGAATAAACATTTATCTAATTTAATTGTAAACCCCATGTCACGTAACCGTCCAAGTACAGCTCGTAAATTTTTTAAGTGGAGAGTCCTGGACCCTCCTGTGCAACATATGTCATCCAAATAGACCACGCACCCTGGAATGCCTCGCAATGTCTCTTCCATTAATTTTTGGAATTTTTCTGGGATACAAGACAGTCCAAAGGGCGTGCGACGGTATACAAAGGTCCCTACGTGTGTTGTAATTGCCGTATAGGGTTGGGACTCTTCACTTAAAATCACTTGTTGGTAAGCCTGCCTCAAGTCTATTTTTGAGTACTCCTCCCCCCCGCTCAGGACCGCGAACAACTCCTCAATACGAGGCAACGGGTAGTAATCACGTTTTAACTTAGGATTTATAGTTATTTTATAGTCCCCACAGATCCGTATGTCACCGTTCTCTTTGATCACAGGAACTATAGGAGTCCCATACTCAGAATGATCCACCCGGTATATGGTACCCTCCGCCTCCAACCGCTCTAGCTCACGCTCAACACGCGCCTTCAGCGCGAGCGGCACGGGCCTCGCGCGTACATATACCGGCTCCCTATCGGTCAGCTGTAATTGGATGGTTTTTTTACAAGTACCTAGCTGTTCACTAAACACTTCGGGAAACTCCTCCCTAAGGCAGCTCACGAACTGATCGTCCGTTATTTCATTAAAACTAATTTGTTTAATTTTTAGAGCGCGTATCCACTCCCGACCTAGTAACGGCCTGCCGCCGTTCTTTATAATATATAAAGATAAGTTATTGGCCCTCTCGTTACCGAGAGACACGTCAACCGATATATATCCGAGCGATTCAATTCGTGAGCCGGAATAACATTTTAATAATAAGTTATCCGAAACAATATGTTTGTGTGTGAAATTTTGTTGATAAAACTGTTCACTCACAGCGGAGATACGACTACCTGTGTCTATTTCACATTCGATCGGTCGTCCGTCCATCTTCACAATAACTAAATATGGTTTATTACCTTTAGCCGCCAACTGAATGTTGAAAAACTCGTCCTCCGATTTGTCGGTCTCACTCACATATTTATGTCGCCCGTAAGATCGATTACGCACCTCTTTACACATAACCTTTAAATGGCCCCGCTGATTACACTCGTCACAATTATACTGCGCAAACCGGCACCTATCCGCGCGATGTCCGCGCCCGCACCGCCAACACCGCAGCTGCGCGTCGACGCTGCGCGGCGCAGCCCTCGGCGCTTGCGCCGGCGCGCCGCCGCCGCCGCCGCCGGGCCGCGCGCGCCGCGCGCTCGCTGCATGCAGGCCCTCGCCCGCCGCGTCGCTGCCCGCACCCGAGGTCCCTGTCGACGTTCTCGACCCGCTCACCTCCGCGTGCCTCTCAGCAGCCTCTAGAGCCATAGCCAACTCGACTGCTTCTCGGTATTTAATATTTCGCTCGGCAATAATACGCGACCTCATCGCGTCACTAGCCAGGCCGGAAACAAATTGGTCACGTAAAGTTTCCTCCAAAGTAGTTCCAAAATTACAAGTGGTCGCTAAGTGTTTTAAGCACTGTAGGTATTCTGACAACGGTTCGCCGGTGCGCTGTCGCCGGAGACGAAATACGTGGCGCTCGGCGATCTCGGATCGCTGTGGCTCCAGATGTTCACTCACAAGTTTAACTAATTCGTCGAATGACTTTGTTTCCGGGTGACTCGGAGAACACAAATCACACATAAGCGAATAAGTCGCCTTCCCGACTACCGTTATTAACAGTGATACTTTTAACTCCTCTTTCACTTCGTTTAATAACATGTATTGTTTAACGCGTCGTATATACGCTGGCCACTCTTTTGAATCTAATTCGAATTGTTCTAGTTTTCCGATAGGCATGATTTATTATTTAACACTGAGCACAACCAAAACACTTAAAAGACTTTTTTTTTTTTTTTTTTAATCCCATCCTCGTCGCCAGTGTAATAACAACACGAGCATTGGCTATAGACTGACTTTATTTAAAAAAAACTTATATTTACCCACCAAGAACAATATACAATATAAACCTATTATTTCATACTACCTTACACTTTTCTTACTTTTTGGCCGGCCGTCTGGTGCGTATGGCGTAAATATCTGTGAGAAAGA